GAATTAAAGACCAATCCATCAGCCTTTGCCTTCCAAGATATTGTCTATTGTAATATTGGTAATCCACAACAATTGAAGCAAAAGCCTTTGACTTTCCATCGTAATGTTCTTTCATTGCTTACAGCTTCTCATTGGTTGGAAGATTCATCTAAGAAGGAACTCTTGAGTCAAATGGTCAATCGTGATGTTCTGGAACGAGCCGAGAGAATATTGTCCAATATTGATTCAAAATCCACAGGAGCCTACACTCACTCTCAAGGTTATGAATTTGTTCGTGAAGATGTTGCTGCGTTCATTGAGCAGAGAGATGGACTCAAGAAGGAACCATCCACTCCGATCGAATCTTCCTCACCGATGGAGCTTCACCTGGTGTTCAATTGTGTTTGAAGACTCTTATTCGAAATGATCATGATGGTATCATGATTCCAATTCCTCAATATCCATTGTATTCGGCCACTATTGATTTGTGTGGTGGTTCTCAAGTTCCATACTATTTGGAGGAAGAGAGTGGATGGGGATTGACCATGCCAGAATTGGAGAGAGCCTATGAAGAAGCAACCAAGAAGGGACAAAATGTGAGAGCTTTGGTGATTATTAATCCTGGTAATCCAACTGGACAAGTCTTGGAGAGATCTCACATGGAACAGGTCATTCAATTTTGTCTCAAGAAGGGAGTAGTCTTGTTGGCTGACGAGGTCTATCAAGAAAACAATTATACCAATGGAAAGAAACCATTCTATAGCTTTAACAAGATTGCCTATGAGATGGGAGTTGAAAACAATTGGAAATGATTAGTTTCCACAGTGTTTCTAAAGGTTTCACTGGTGAATGTGGTAGAAGAGGAGGTTACTTCCAATTGGGTGAGGCTGTAGATCCTGCTGTTAAAGAGGAACTCTACAAGATTAGTAGCGTCAACTTGTGCCCAAACGCTGATGGACAAATTATGGTTGATTTGATGGTTCGTCCACCTGCTCCAGGAGAAGCTTCCTATGAGGAATATATTAAGGAAAGAGATGCCATCTTGAATAGTTTGAAACGTAGAGCTGAAAAGTTGGTCAAGATGTTGAATAGTTTGGAAGGTGTCAGTTGTCAACCAGTTGAAGGTGCCATGTATGCATTCCCACAAATTACTCTTCCAGAAAAGGCCATCCAAAAGGCTAAGGAATTGGGTATGGCACCTGATTTGATGTATGTTTTGGAATTGCTCGAGCAAACTGGTATTTGCGTTGTTCCTGGATCAGGTTTCCAACAAAAGCCAGGTACTCATCACTTTAGAACTACCATTCTTCCAAGCGAGGAACAAATTGAGGGCGTTGTTGATAGAATGGCTAAATTCCATGCCAAGTTTATGAATCAATACAAGTAGACAAACGTCATTAAGCATCATCTTCAAAATCATTCTTTAACCTTGCTTTTTGTTTAGAAGTAAAAATCTCAAATCCCTTAAAAATAATAACAATAATAATAAATAAAATTTAGTGTTGAACAACGCCACGCTGTCAATAATTGAACAAACATTTCTGTTGTGTTCCAAATACAATTTAGTAATCCTGTAAATAGTGTACTATATTCTTAGTGCCAATGTTACTCACTAGCTCGTTCTCTAACTTCTCGTAATATCATGACATTTCATAAATGTTCTGAATGATCATTTCACTGTTTTAGTTTTCTCAATGGATGTTTCATGAACATTCATTGTGGAATAATGGAAACCTAATGTTTCATCTTTTTATGTCATCAAATGAAAATGATTGCTGAACAAGAGCCCACAATTTGCGTTTCTTGTTCTCGAATGAAATTGTAATATCTTGAAAGGGTCAAAAGGCTGCAATAAATCACATAGCAAGTTTCGTTTTACAGGTGTGGCCTCGCTCATCTTATAGAAGTAAACAAACGTGCCTCCACACGCAACTCGATCTTGTGTCACTTCTGGTTGAGATCTCAATTTGGTGAAAACTTCAAGAATTGGATTTTCATTGGTTTTGTCTTTTCCAGCAAGAGTGGGGAAAATCCATGACTTTTCACCAAGAGCATAGAATGCATTTGCTGGACGCAATAGTGTATCCCAAGCCACATTCAAAATCAACAACTGGCTCAGGAATAGTATCTACTTTCTTGAACATAAATTGTGGAATATTTTCATCATTAAACTCCACATGTATGTCGTCGGTAACAAATAATTCTCCATTATCACATAATACAATGGTCCTAAAGGTATCAAATCCAATTTTTTTGATATGTGTCGGAAATCCTGCAGTTCTTTGATATTTGTGTCCAACAGTAGATCCAGCAATTAATACCTCATGTGTTGTTAGTGTCACTATCGAAAAGAAGGTCTAAATGCAATAAGTTTAACATTTGGAACTGGGTCTGATACATAGGTGAAAAGATTTCTATTAATACAGTCACCACATCCTAATTCTCCTCCGATATTTACTCCTGTAGGATTGAGTGTGAGATAATGTTCAGTTGCAAATAATACAATATGCAATAAATATATTAAATTCGGAATTAAAGGCATATATGGATTGTCCATGATGAGGTTTGGAAAAAATATTCATGATAAAAGATGAAACAATTAAAATAATGATTCACATACCTGTTACAAAAAGCCGTCCTTTCTTTGAAATGATTGCAGAATAATGTCCTTGACACACAATATGATCAACAGCGTCATCAAAAATATTAATCGAACTCTTTGAAAGGTATTCCGATTGATAAAGTCACCAAGTCCTAACACAATTTAAACATTAAAATTGATTCATCATGATGATAAATTACATTCGAATGAAAACAACACCTACCTAAAGCACCTGCGACATTAGCTCCGCATGCAAAAACTTTGCCTTCTGTTGTTAAAATCATGGAGTGGTGATAGCCACATGAAATTTGTTGGATAGACATTTTGCAATCCCATTGAGCCTTTTTAAATGAGTAATGTGACGTTTGGCAGGGAGTCCCACAGCACTATTAAGCCACGCATGGTCACAGATAATGTATTCATGTGAATGTTCAACACAAAATGCATTTTGAATAATTCCATGAGTTTGCATGTCAATTCGAATAAACAAACACTTACCATTGGCCATAGGTATTGTCACCACATGCATATAACTCATTGTTCACAGTGGCAATTAATACAAACCCATGCCCACATGCAATATGTTTTATGCTGTCTCTGAATAGTTTTTGAATGAGAAGTGGCTTTCGTGATTTATCTCCACACGAGAGTTGCCCAAAAAAGTTATTTCCGCAGCAACTATACACACGATCTAACGATTCTACTTCATCCCAATCCATTTTGTCAGAAAGTGAGGATGGTGAGGCCAGTAACAAGTTTTTGACTTTTTCAATGAGTGCTCTATGTGACTTTCTTCTTGGTGATTTTTGAATTTGCTGATGTGTGGAGGTTGATGAGAAGGATTTGCAATGGTGCTTGTTGGCAGAGAATCAGAAAATGATGACAAGGAGGAAAACGAAGAGGAGGATGAAGTAGTACTATTTTTGTCATCCGCATCACTGTCACTGCTGTCAGAGGTTAAATCCATTTCATGACTGTTGGGATCCAAAATATTATTGGGCATGGAATGATGCTTTTGATGAGCAATTCGGTGATGATGACCAATTCCAAACACATTGGTTGATTTAGTCTTATTCACAGTATTCAACAAACCAAACACCAACGAGTTCACAATTTCATTTGATGCGACAGGATTCGGTATGGGGTCATTGTTTGTCAGTAGTATAGAGGATTTCGTTGTTGTGGCTGATTCAGGTGCGTAAGGGGACGATCTTGTGTGAGTTATTTGACCGTTATTGTCAACCATGGGAAGTAATTGACTGATGCTTCCATTTATATTATTATTACTAGAAATTGTTGATGATGATGGTGAGAATGTTGCGATTGTACCCTCTTCGGAATATTGTACCTCTTGTGTGTGCGTTAAATTAATTTTCTTCTTCTTTTCGGGTGGTTCATAACCACCACTATTCATATATGGATTGCTATTCATCTCTAATTGCTTTTAGTGGTGTGTTTTATGAAAATGCTCTTCCTGATGAGTGAGCTCACCCGAAAGAATGAATGGTTAGTGAGGCCAATGATATTATGAGAGGAAATATCGGAACGTTGGTTGCTACTATACTATTCAACGGCACGATCGGCAACGTAAAGGCTATTTTTGTGTGAGAATATATATATTTATGTGGTTGCTTTTAAAGAAGAAGAGGAAGAAGAAGGCTGTTTGTCTCTCAAAGGATCATCCTCTTGGTCCAGGGACAATGAGAGGCAATAAAACATTGCTCGGCTGGCCTTTGGCCATACCTCTTTAGTGGAAAAGGTCTTTGTGACAGTTATTATTAGAAGAGGAGCGCAATCAGAAAGGAGGGTCGATGAATTTGAGAGAATTTTCATGAACACAAAGATCCTCTCCTATGAATTTTTATTAACCCTTCAGCACTGCAAAAATTTTTCGCTGGAGAGAATCTTGAATAAAACACAAAGATTCAAGGGCGGTTCTATTTCGAGGCCATCTTTATTACGGAATCCATATTTCAAGAGAACACAGCATTTCCCTGTCGAAAGTAATGACAAAGTTCATCACTACTGCGCTTACTGTAAGAAAGCTAATTCAAAATGTGGTTACAAATGTGCAGCATGTGGTGATCATTTGCATTTGAAGTATTTCCTCCAACACCACGAACAGAAACTCATATTGTACTAAATAATTTTTAATTCTCCTATCCGAGATGCCCATGGACTTTGTGGAAAACGGTTGATATGATTCCAACGCCTTAATAATTATTTAGCAATTTCTAAATAATAATATCATTAATTTTGGACGTCAAAACTCCAGATGATGATATCAGGCAGTCGTGGTTGTCGTTGATTGGGGAGTAGCAATATTTCACATTGATTCGCTATCAAGATGTGTCTACAAGAAACGCACAAGTATTTGTGTTTTTCAGAAAGGTGCTGATGTTGCGTGGTGAGCTAAAAGGTCACTAGCAGCCTTGGATGACTTGATCTGTTGGAAACGGAGGAAGTGGAATTCTCGGATACTGATTTTGTTATTGTTGTCCGCACCTTTACTGAATTTCAAGAAAGATGCGCATGAATTGAATTGTTGCGCTCGATGAAAAACAGTCCTTCAAAAATGCGCAATGATTTGGATTCAAAAGCAAGTCAAAAAAACCCAATAATTGAAACAACCTTATTGCTCTGAACTGACATTGTCCACGCTTTTACCAAAATTCCTCTTTGTGTCTGACTGTGAAGATCTTTGTTTCATCTCTCTCTTATACATGAAACATTTGTAACAATCAAAAAAATGGCTTCTTCATTACCCACAGCATCCACTGTGCTATCTTCTACGATGAAATCACCTCCTTCCGAATCCGATGGTTCAACTTCGGAACAAGGAGCAGAAACAACTACCACTCAACAACAAGTGGTTTGGTATTTTGCATACGGTGCAAATATGAGCTCAAAAGTCTTGATTGGAAGACGAAAAGTCAAACCCATGGAGTCCTATCCGTGCTACGTGGAAGGCTATGATTTAGTCTTTAATATGAAGGGTTTGCCTTATTTTGAACCTGCTTTTGCGAGTATTGAAAAGAGACAAGGATGGAGAATGCATGGTGTTGTGCATAAAATCACGAGAGAGCAAATGGATCATATTCGGAGGACAGAAGGTGGAAATGGACATGATATGGATGTAAGTTTTGTAGTTTCTGAACGAGGAATTGTGACTCGATGATGTCAATGGCTCAATTTTGTTTTATCGATCTGCAATTAATTATTGGAATAATTTGTTGAATTTGGTGTTCATTTGGGGATGTTTGTGATGTTGATTGTGCGACGACTAAAATGCACAAAAATGTCAAATCTACGATTAGGATTTTGGATATCGTGAAATTACAGTACAAGCAACAATTTATCAACCTTGGTTTACCGAGAATGACACCAATGCTGCCACTTCATACGGAACCCCAAACATGTACTTCCAAACAGTGGATGCCATTGCACTTCAAGGACCACCTGACATTAATGACGCCAATCCTTCCGCTCGTTATTTGAACATTTTAAGAAGTGGAGCAAAAGAATATGGTATTGCAAAGGAATGGCAAGATCACCTCAATAACACACTCCAAGAATACAAGTCTGCTGGCGCTGCAAAGACTTTTGGAAAATTCTCTTTCGTCCTTATTATTCTTCCTTTATTTATTCTTCCGCTAATCATGATAGTTTTATCGCATGTAGTCAAAGTTCAAACCCCGTATTTTGTGACACGAATGTTCAAGCATCTTGGATCACTTGTCTGGTGGGTTCATGACAATATTTGGAGCAAATTATTTGGAAGTGGAAAAACAATAGAAGCAAATAGTTTATTCGGAGATGTCCAAGAACAATGGACAAAACTTTCACAAACCAATAAATTGTCATTTCTTTGAATATTGTTGCTGTTGTCACCCAAATAGGGTTTGGGACTTCAATTTGAAGGTCCCTACCAAAAGAAAGCAAAAAATGTCGAACAACAATTCTGACGATGAGAACGGGAGTCCAGAAGCAGCAATCTTGTCTTCCTCTCCTCCGAGAAACACGATTGAGTTGAAATCTATGAGAAACAGTACAGCGACGACGAATAGTCTGCAGCAACAACCCGAACAACAGCCTCCTAAAGCCTCTCCGACGCAACAACAACTATTCATTGGTCATCAACATCATCACGGACAAAGACAACGATCTCTATCTTCCTCTCTCCATCATCAACACCATCATCACCACCACCACCATGCACCGATTCGGAGCCATGCCAATATCCATTCAAGACCGAATGTACATTCATCGAGTGGTGGAGGTGGCTCGAGAAGCCTCTCAAGAAGTTCTTCTCCGACCAATGGGCTTGTCGGCACAAAGAAGGAATCGTCTGTTTCAAATTCCTCTTCTTCTTCTTCACCTGCCATGAATAATGATTCACCTCGAATTATTCAATCATTGTATCTGCATCAGTTGCATCATAATGATGTCGGAGCGAGTATTATAATCGGAAATCATATAGTGACACCTTCAGCACCCAATGTTGGAGGAGCAGAGGAGGAAGAGGAAACCATCATGATGGAAGATGTCGAAAGACAACATCAAGCCGGAATTAGAGAAGAAGACTCTCGAATTCATCAAAATAGTTCTCGAACTCATCATTATCATCATGGAGCTCGCCAAACACATCGTCACTCTTCGCGGCATCATCACTATTCTCACAAGCACCGAAAACATTATTTACATCCTCGGCATTACAGTAAAAAAGGTGGTGTGAAGAATGGACATGCAAGTGAGGAAGAAGAGGAACAGGACGAAACTGGTGACTATACGACCGATTCACAGGATAATATTTCAGAAGTGAGTTCATTGGCCTTATCAGTCATGTCCAACACAGACTATGCAGAAAGTAGAAATTTTCGATTCATTGACGATGGTTCTAATGGATTGGAGAATGACAAGCGACAACATTTTGGATCTGTTGTCAGCTTTTTATTTGCTGCGATTGGATCAAGGTAATTATTTCATTTTGAATAGACAGCGTATTTTTCATGGATAATGCTCTTTTTGGAAATCTTATTGTGAATAATATTTTCAAAAATTATAGTGTTGGCTTGGGAGACTTGGTTCGATTTCCATATCTTGTTTACACTTTTGGAGGTGGAGGTTTTTTGATACCTTATTGTCTTTGCCTAGTGATTTTGGGAATTCCTTAACCTTACTTGAATTTTCTTTGGGAACCATGGCACGTAGATCCTCAATTTTGTCTGTCTCTAAATGGAACAGAAGAGCATGTGGTGTGGGTAAGTTGTGTGAAATTTTAATAGACACAAGAAACAAACGAAACTTGGACAAAACCACTCAATTTTATATATCACCACATTTTATCAGGACTTGCAATGTCAATATTTGGAAGTCTTCTTATTCTAAGTTATTACAACGTTATTCTCAGTTGGGTGTGTGTTTATTTTGTAAATCTGTTTCAAGAAAGGTTTGTAGCAATTTCATTTTATGAATTATTTATTCTCATTGATAATTTCCTTTTAACAACTATACACACGTCACAGCCTGCCCTGGATTGGAGCGGCAGAAGAGTTTTTCAATTCCAAAGTGTTACTCAAATCAGCAGGTCCTACCACCCTCTTTAGCAACTATTCTTCAAATTTCTTCAACGTCAATTTTATTTCCATTCCAATATTACTGAGCTTGATCGTCATTTCTGTCATCAACTTTTTGCATTATTTAAGGGCGTGAGCAGTATCAAATTTGTTGTTTATATTACTGTTCCACTGCCAATTTGCTTACTATTCATTTATCTCATGAGAACGTTACTTTTTGAGGTTGGAAGTAGCACTGGACTCTATTACTTTTTCAAACCGGATTTCAATGTACTGCTTAAAACAGAGATTTGGCTTGCAGCAGCTGGGCAAGTGTTCTTCAGCATTGGAGTTGGCAATGGAACCAATCTTACATTGTCTTCCTACCTTAGCAGAAAATCAAATATTATCATGGCATCGATTGTTGTGGTTGTTGCCAACTGTTTGATTGCCTTCATTAGTGGTTTTACCATTTTCAGCATTTTGGGAGTGATGGCTCACGAGAAATTTGGTGCCAATGGTGAGTATTCATGAATACCTTGTTTCATCTATAATTCACAATTTTCACACATACTATTGTTACATTCATTGGGTAATAATTCAACCAAATAGCGAGTGCCGACTTTGACAAGCTATTTACAAATGATGTCTTATCTGGATTGGGACTTGCTTTTATTGTGTATTTCCAAGCAGTCAGCTACTTACCAGTTCCACATTTTCTGCTCTCCTACTGATTATTACCATCTTTTCAGTTGGTATTGATAGTGCGTTTGCATGTGTCGAAACTGTAGTTAGTGCAGTAATGGATCATTTCTCAATGAAGTGGAATTTGAAAATTAATCGATGGAAATACGTTCGAAAAGTGTACATGGAAAATTTCCACGGAGCCGACGCTGCTGTGGAGCAGTCTCAAAAGGAACAACAGAACATGGGAAGTGATATCATTTCTCAATCTCCAACAGAGCAAATTACTGAGTTTCCTACGTTTGATACAGCCGATAATCATGATCTGTTACATGAAGAAAACGTTCCAGAAATGCCCTTCTCCTACAAGCTTTTAACCAATAGAAATGTAGTTGTTTTTTTGGTGTGTCTATTGGGATTCATACTTGGAATTCCATTCACATTAAGCAATGGATACTATTTAATTCGAATTGTGGATCACTACGTTTCTAATTATTGCCTTGTCATGATGGGTATTGCAGAATGTATTGTCGTGGGCTATTTTGCTTATGGTTCAAAATACTTCGAAAATAAGGCAAGCGCTCTAGAAGAACCTACTGTCATTTCCAAATTACAGGAAATCATTTCTTCCACGAATGAGACACATGATATTTCAGAGAAATGGGAAAAAGAGCTCAATCGAATGATTGACCCCAACGATGAAGAAGCAATTGTGTCACAAGTTCTCGAAAACCGTAAGTTTTTCTTCAATCCAGCAAAAATAATTTTTTCACTCTTGTGTGTTCTTCGCATTGAATGAATGTATTTTTCGAATGGATGTAAAGACTCCTCATGGAGAGCCAAGATTATTTCCAAATGCAAAGTCATGCTGTCACACTTTGTGGTATTTTTCAAGTACCTCATTCAATTCCCTAGTTTTTTGAAAGCATTCAACAAATTCAGACAATCTCCTGCTGAGTATTGGAAATGCTTCTTTTTCTTCTCTATTGAGCGTTTCAAAAATCACATTGTTGCTAAAAAGAAGAAAATTATTGAAAAATATCCACAAGAAGAGCCCACAGAAGAAGAATCTGGATGCCTTAGTGACAACTCAATTGTTTATCGATGTATGGACCAGTGTACTCAATTCTTTTTATGGGTGTGGTGCTTTTAATCAAGTACGTGGCACCTATCATGCTCTCCATCATGCTTATTTCCACAATGATTACTGAGACTGTTTTTCGATTTCCATTTTCATTCAGTTCAGATTCAAAATCGAGTAATGATGAAGAAGTGGTTTTCAGTCTTGCTTTGGGATGGTCTCTGGTTATTGCATGTCTTCTCTGTATGATTTGGTTTGCTGTGTTTCCTTTTGTTGAGAGAGACTCTGAAGTGTTTGGAAAGCGAAAAGTCATTAGTTGATGAATACAGAACTCGCTTACTTTAAAAGGTTCTTCCACTTTTTCTCATATTCGTATTCAATGGAAATATCGTCGCCTAGTGAATGAGGTGAGTTGCCATTTGGGCAGTCACAACAAATGAGCAAACCGTTCTTTATTTGCCATTTGCTCGACAATCCTTCAGCCCCCATACGCAAATTGTTGTGTCAAAGTTCAGATTTTATTTCCAACGTTGATTTGGAAGAAGAGTTTGGGCAATGAAACTTTAATGAATACACGAAAGGTTTTAAAAAGTAAAAACTTGCATGAGATTCGTTGACCTTCAATAGAATTTTGAAAATCTTAAAAGTCTTTCCTCAATCCATATTTCAAGCAACCTCCAAGATGCTCGAAGGATGATATCTTTTAAAGAAGTGCCGAGTTATCTTCAAACTGATGATAATTTGACCCTTCCTCGCAGTGCTTCGTTTGTCACCATCAGAAAATCTGTTGACAGGTTGACGACCAACGCAAAGAGACAGCTTTCACCCTTCAACATCACACACAAGTCATCAAAAAAAATTCAAAAACGTTCGAGTCTGCTCGAGTCTGTTACTCGCTTCTCTCAGTAGGTAGGTGTTCACAGAAAGGAGAATTGCGTGTTCCAACTTTAATCTTCATATGTATTCTATCTGTGATTTAAATGTGTTTATGGATTTTGTAACAACATCCAACAACATGTGTGTGGTTGATAATGTGTTCGAATGGTGATGATGATATTTTCGTTGTGCCACTTGTTATTTGTTGTCCATTCATGAATATAAAACTTGTTTTGAATGGATCCAATGAATTTGTAGAATCTCCAAATCCACCCAAAGAGATTGGCTAGTTAACCACTCGTCATTCACTCCTCTTGTAACCATAATCATCATCATTTATAAATTCAACCACCACCCATCCATACATTGAATTACTTCTGAGAGAAGCACCAACAACACCACCCAACAACCACAACATGTCCGTCACCAAGATGGATCTCTCCATTGCGGAGAAGAAGGCCTACGACTTTTGGTTCGTCAAGAAGAAGCCAAACGTTGGATTGAAGAACTCGTACAAGAAAACCTTCCACCAGGAACAGCAAACTTTGGTGAAAACTTGCGAGATGGTATCTTCTTGGCCAAGTTGGGAAAGATCTTTGCTCCAAGTGCCATCAAGAAGATTAACACACCAAAGAGTGGAAGTGTGTTGGAATTTATGGCTGTCGATAACATTACTCAATTCTTTGAAGCTTGTAAGAAGGTGAACTTTCCTGATCACTATGTGTTTGGTAAGTAGTAGTAGTACTAGTCGTTTGTTGTTGTTGTTTACTGTGAATCATTGGTGATGATGATGTTGAATAATGATGATGATGATTCCTCTTGTGTAAACCCATAACAACAATCACAACCCAACAACAACACACAATATCCATTCAAAACCTTCCATAACAACCAACAACAATAATAACAACCACAATGCTAACGATTCAAACCAATTTAATGAAATTCCACCCATCAGAGGTCACTGACTTGTGGGAACTCAAGAACATTTACAAAGTCGTTCACTGTCTCCATACCCTCTCTCTCCACTTGTATCGTAATGGTCTCGCCATTCGTATGCAGAACTTACAAAAGGCCAACTTGAAATTCTCTCGTGAGGAAATTGAAAAGACTCAAAAGTTGATTGAAGATATTGCCGATAATGCCATGGCTTTCCCAGTCGATATTGAAGAAGTTGGAGATGAAGGAACTGACTCTTCGATGGATGATGTCTTGGAAGATTTGGCAGATCCTTCCATGTGTGATGCCGAGGAGATGGTCTCACACGAGCTGTTGCTGGCGTTGAAGCTTCGTTTACCATTACAGCTCGTGATTCAGATGGTCAAGTGTTAACTGAAGGAAATGAAACATTCCGTGTAACTTTGTTTAGTGTGAATTTGGAATCGTCAAGTGCTGAAAGTGGAAACAGTGATGCAGCTGCTGCTTCTCATGAACGTGTTGTCATCCAAGCTCAAGTTAAGAATAATAACGATGGTACTTACTCAGTAACTTATACACCAGAGAAGGCTGGTCAATACAGAATGGAATTGGTCTTGTGGGATGAAGAGACTCAAGAAGAAGTTGATCAATTGTCAAAAGTCTCTCCTCAAAATGTCACTGTCTTGTCAAATCCAAAATCAGACCCATCCAAGAGCGTTTTAGATGGAGCTGGTATTGGTACAGCTGTTGCAGGTGTTAAAACTGAATTCACCTTGACTTCATTTGATAAATATGGCAATTTGGGTCGTGGTGGAGAAAAGTTTACTGCAAAACTCACCTCCGGTTCCGAAGAAGTTGAATGTGACGTTGAAGATTTGGGACAAGGAAAGTATCGTTTCTCTTACGTGTGTCCAAAGAGCGGTGACTACTCATTGAATGTGAAATTGGAAGATGTTGATGTTGCCACCAAGACTGTTGTCGTGAAGGATGCTGGTATTTCTGATCCTTCTCGAACTGAATTCAGTGATATTGACTCTGTTTTGGATAAGAAAGCTGGTGAAGTTTCTAAATTCACAATTCTCGCCAAAGATAAGCACGGAAACGATCGTTCCTCAGGTGGTGAAAAGTTCCAAGTTTTCCTTTTGGATCCACAAACCAATCAAGTCCATCTCCAAGCCGATGTGAGAGATTCCAACGATGGTAAATATCATGTGGAATATACTGCCAACACAAGTGGAAAGTATTTGTTGCAAGTGAAACTCGGAGACGAACAAGTCACCAGTAAGAATGTTTCCATTCACGATTCTGGTGTGACTGATCCCTATCAAACCACATTCAGAGCTGCTGAAAATTACAAACATTTCCCAGCTGGTTGCCCTCTCCAACTCCATGTCGAAGCAAGAGATCGTTTCGGAAACAAGCGTGAAACTGGTGGTGACACTTTTATTCTCCAATTCACATCGAAGGCTACTATGGAAACAATTTCTGGAGATTTGATTAAATTCAATGATAACCAAAATGGTGAATACACCTTCGACTATACCATTGAACAATCTGGTGAATATGGAATGGAAGTTTTGTTGAAGGAAAATGTTGATTCTCGTTCTGAAGGTGGTAATGATTCAACATCCTTGTTGAAGGCTTTCTTGAGAAAGTACAAGTATACCAACATTCCAGGATTCCCGTCCACAGTTTTTGTGGACGATAGTGGTCGTACAGATCCACAACGAACTCAATTTGCTGGAGATGGTGTTTCCAATGCTGTTCAAGGAAAAGAATCCGAATTTGTCATCAAGACTAGAGATAACTTTAACAATATACGTCAAACTGGTGGTGACAAGGTAGAGGTCACTGTTTCCAATGAAGCCAGAAAGATTGATATTGCTGCTTCTGTCAAGGACAACCAAGATGGTACTTATACTGTTGTTTACACACCAAAGGCATCTGGAAAGACCAAACTCATTGTCAAAATTAATGATGTTTTAGTTGATAATGATATTTTGAGAGGTGGTGTATTCGTTTCTCCTCCAAATATTGAAGATACATCCATGCTTGATACCATTTTGGATCATGACTTATTGTCTGCCTTATTGAACGCTTTCAAGGTTGAAAATGATTCTGACAGTTTGATTGAAAAGATCCAAAAACTCCGTGAGGAACTCATCAAACAAATCAGAGAGAACACTCGTATTGAAGAAAATGTTCGTGACAAGGACAGAAAGATTGCATTACTCGCTGAAAATAGATACGATGCTGAAACTATTTTGAACCAAAAGGGAGGTATTGTCGGATTCTTCCAAAGAAGAAAGCAACGTGCTGCTGAAGAAAATGCAAATGTTGACTCAAAGGATAAGTTCAACATTAAGGACTATGTGGACTATTACAGCAGCTTGTTCTACTTGCTTCAAACTAATCCAAAGTATTTGGCCAAGTGTTTGTTCTTGGTTCCAGCTCGTGACATGGACCAATTCATGCAAACTGTCACACTTACCTTGTACGGTTATGCTTTCTCTCCTCGTGAGGAATATTTGATTTTGAACTTGTTCAACGAAACACTTGCTCTCGAAATTCAAAACAGTTCCATTGATAACTTCTTGAATAACAATCCAGTGTTGATCAAGTTGGTCGTTAACTATTGCCATGAACGTATTCAAGGTAAACAATTCTTACAAAAGGTTCTCTATGACAAGATTTTGGAACCAATCATTGAAGAGAAGGATTTGAATTTGAATCTTAATGCTGTGACAATTTTGAAGGAAAGAATTTCACAACAAGAAGTTGAAACTGGTGTCAAGAGTGACATCAATATTAAGGATATGACTTACGAAAAGGCCATGCAAGACGAATATGTCAGCAAGTTGGTTCAACAACGTACAAAGAAGATGATTGACATTTGTCAAAGCGTCTTGGACACTCTCAATGACAACATTGCTGAATTGCCATATGGTTTGAGATATGTCTGTAGACAATTGAAGACCATGCTCACCAAGAAGAACCCAGAAGCTCCAGAGGAAGATGTCAACCGTGTCGTTTCCTATTTATTGTTCTTTAGATTCCTTAACGGACCTTTCTGCGGCTGTGATGCTTACAACTTGACCAAGAAGAAGATTTCTGCAAGCATGAGAAACAACTTGGCTTGGATTTCAAAGGTTTTGATGCGTGTCTCTACTTTCAAGGAATTTGACAAGACCTTTGATATTCATTTCTGTGTCATGAACGATTGGATTCAACAAGCCATTCCATCCTTTGTTGATAAATTCTTAAAACCAGCCATCACCATTCCAGAGCCTGAGGAACAACTTGGAGTTCACCAATATATTGAACTCACACAAAAGAAATCTCCAACCATCACCATTACTTTGAATGAAATTGCTCAAACTCACAGTTTGTTAGTCAAGTTCATGAACAGAATTACACCAGATGAAAAGGATCCATTGCGTGAAGTCTTAGAAAAGATGAAAGATAAGGTTCCAGAACAAGTGGAAGCATCCAAGAATGAAGAAATTAGTTTACCACTTCAAGTTCGAACCAATATTGAGAATTTGGACCTCGAAATGAAACCAGAACAAATTTACGAACTCACCAAAGAATGTTTCCGTACCTTGTTGCGAATTATTACTCCACAACAATTGGGTGACAATGTTGCTGAGACCATTGAAAAGGCAGACAAGTATGCTGATGAATTAATGAATGCCAAGTCATCAGATGGAGCTCAACTCAAGAGAAAGGTCGAAGATTTGAGAAAGCACTTACCAAAATTGGTTGAATCTGAAGTTCTCTCCAAAGAAAATGGTTATAGAAAGTTGTTGACAGATATTACTAAGGAAATTCAAAACAGAGGAGAAGTTAGAAAGAAGCAAGTTCGTGAATTAGAACGTCTCTCTGACAGCTTAAAGTCCTTAAAGGAACATCAAACTTTCCTCAAAGAAAAGGACAAGAGTTTGGATGACTATGTGCAACAAACTCTTCGAAACTACTTTGAAGGCAAAAACAAGAGAAAACAAAAATCAGGAAAGAAACAAGTCTACAAATTCAGTTACGAACAATTATACGAAAAGTATAAAGTTATTGCCGAAATGACAGAAGGAGGAGTTTTGAAGAAGAAGATCAAATTCCACATTAGTATGGATGAAGCCAATCCAGGTTTCTTCACAGTGGAAGCTAAATTGGCTGGTGCTGAATTGAAGACCATTAATTTGAGATTGGACGAACTTTTGGATAAGCGAGGAAAAGGTGAACAATTGCTCAAGCTTGATGGTGTTTCGTTGAATGTTAACATGACCATTCACATGATGAACAAACTCTTTGCTTCCAAGTAAATAATAAAATTATATTCCCATATTCTACTTTAACATTCGCAGAATAATGAACTCTTCCCTTTTGACTTGAAGCAAAACGAATTTTGCTTCTAAGTAAATTCCATTAATAGATAGTAAGGCCTCGACTTACGTCTGTTTAAAATCGGAATCCAACGATAAAATCGTATTGTAAGAATTTGATTGGAATCATCTTTAGCATCATTTATTACCACCACGAAGTGCGAGAAGATGGACATGATAATTAAGAGATTCCCAAGCAGATTGTTGGGCAAACTTCTCCCTCCAGCCCACCCTTTCCAGAGCAATTCAGATCGGAAGTAGTTTTGGTAATTTCATAAGTTTTAGGAATGGAATTGGGCACTGGTGGGTAGTATCAGTGACGAGTTGAAAAAAAATAACTAAGGTTGTGGGATGAAATTAAGGGAACGTAATGCCCTCTTCTGAATGCCTCCAACCACTGATTGCGCATACAGTAGTTGTATCTAAGAGTAACAGCTAACTATCAATTCCTTCTGAATGGGCAGAGTTTTTGGCGTCATGGGACGTGTTTTTCACTCTGGAAAGACCAATGTTATGACCTTAATTGTCGTTTATGTTTCTAGTAGTAGCATATATATGAGTTTATTCATGGCACTACTAGTATATTACACCAGAATACGCCTGGTGAGAGAAATAGGAGTTGGTAGATTGATGCCAAGATGTTTGAAATATCTTACGCGCGTGTGGTAGAATAAACTCAGATTTCTCGAATCGATTTTAATCGTTGGATTACTTAAATGATGAATAAATTGTACTGTTTAATGATTGGATCTTTCATCTTAAAATTAAAATTACTGCATCAAACACTTCTTTTTGAGTCTGATGATACTTTATAATGATCATCCTTATCCACACATATGGCCTTCAACACCAACTCATCGAATCGATCAAAACCTTCTCCTTTTATAGCACTGGTTTCAATATATGAAACACAACCCATTTTACGAGCCATCAATTCTCCTTGTTCTTTCGTAATTGGTTTTTCATTATGTTTCATCAACATGGATTTTGTGTGAACAGGATCTTTTCTCAAATCTGTTTTGGTGGCAATTAGTAAAATAGGACAATCAGGACAGTGGTGACGGACTTCTGGAACCCATTTTGTGGCAACATTGAGAAGAGAGGCCTTACTGATAACACTAAAGCAGAGAAGAAAGAGATCCGTTTGTGGATAACTTAAGGGTCTGCAAAGTAAAGTGATTAGTGACAGCGCAAAAAGTGTTGAAAGACTCACCTCAATCGATCATAATCCTCTGGTCCAGCAGTATCCCACAACCAAATCGTGTAATTGGGCATATACCTGCTGACATAATTATAATTATCAAAAACCGTCGGAACATACTCAAAAGGAAAAGCATTTGTGGTGTAAGTAATTAAAAGACCTTAAAGTTAAGAAGAAAATTGAATAATCATGAATTTTCAAGAATTTTAAAACTTACTCGTCTTTCCTGTTGCTCCATCTCCAATAGTGACCATTTTGAATCCTTCTTTTGCATCTAAATTCATTGCTTGTTTTGGATATGCTAAAATATCGTCTCGTGTGAAAAACTTTCTCTTGGGTTGTTGTGGGCAACTTTGTCTTTCAATTTCAGCTGTCAATAGTTTGGAATTCTTTTCTGCGTTGGTTAAAAAGGTTTTAAAGATTTCAATCAGACCTTGTTTAAAGTTTTCTTTACGTTGTGGCAAATGATCATATTTGGAATCATATCTCCAACAGGTTTGTCTGACACTCGAGTCATAGTAATAATCGGCTGTCGCTTGTATCAATTCATCAATTTTTTGCATGTAATAATTTTTCCAAAATTGATCTTCCTCAGTGAGTTGACAAATTCTCAAACTTTTGCTGACAAGCTGCAATCTCATCAAATCGACACATTCTAAAAAAGAGAGAATATTTCTGTAAATGTCATCATTGAGCATGGAATCAAATTCCTTGTAATTGAATTCATCTTCCTGCTGATTTTTCAATTTCACATTTTGTCCAGTCTTTTGTTTTGAAGGAACACAAGTCTCAATTTCAGTTTTTTGCAAACTTCCTCCAAACACAAAATAGGAAACTGTTTGTGGATCTTGATTCACATAACGAGTGATGGTGTGAAAAACAGGAAATGCCTCAAATGGAGTTGTTTCATTGGGCTTGTTGTATGGTTCTGTTTGAAAGAGTTGAGCAAGAACATTTTCGTTACGATTCACTTTTTTCCATTTTGAAGTGACACCCTGACCGGTCAACCCCAAACAATAACAATCGAAAAAGTCAACACTCTGATTGCAACCACCCATCATGTAAATCTTTTTCTGATTTTCAATCTTTTCGAGAATACATGAGTGACCATATCTCCAAACATGTTCGTCACCACTTTCAATAAATTCAAATTCTACAGCTTTGGAGAATTCTTCCTTGTGATCATTTTGGGAATTATCAGATAATGTGATCAAGGTCGATAACTTGATCTTGATAAAGTCTTTGGTGAGTCCATTAGAAGATTTTCCACCAATCAAATACCAATCTCCATTCTCTTCATCGAGAACAGTCGCATGATAGAATCTACCACTCACTGTTTCATTTTGATCATGATCGTTGGCACTTGACAGTTTCAGCGCCACACTTTTCCATTCCAAAGTTTTCAAATTCAACTCAAACAATTCCCTACTCGTGAAAGCATTGTTATCATAACCACCAAACACAAACATGGAATCTCCATAAATCACACTCGCATGTCCATATCTTGGAGTGATCAATTGCGAATCTTTACAATCCAACTTTTTCCAACTCTGATTTGAGAAATTAAAACTCCAAACATCATTATGAAAACCATTCGACTTTCCTCCGAAAAGAATCATTTCATTGGTGGAAGCGTTTAAAACGGTCGTGTGAAAATTTCGAGCACAAGGTGATGGAGTGGTGAGGGTGGGTGTCAAATTAGTGAATTGATGAGAACGAGTGTCGAGTTGGATGAAATCATTGACAAATTCGAGAGGACGTTGTGAATTTGTGGAGGATTTTTGAAGACCTCCGAAAAAGTAAATGTAATGATCGTGAAAGAGAGCACTGTGGCCCAAACGAATCGGAATGGAGCGTGTCGAGGTGGCAGGAGAGGACATTTTTTTTCATGGGGTGAGATCAGTTCAAAGTTCCTAGTTCCTTCTGATCTGATTGGTCAAGAAAAACAATTTTATTATTTCAATTACGGTTGTACAACTTAATAATCATTTCTTCTGGTGTAATGATTATTAAGGACAGTCATTCCAACAGAAGTTTGAGTGCTTGTTTGTTGGTTGTTCCATGTTCCTTGTTGTAGTTGTGGTTGATATGGTTGTTGTGGTTGCTGCTGTTGTTGAAAAGATAAACCTTGGTGGCATTTGTTGTAGTTGTTGAGATGGAGGAACGTCTGCATTGTCATTGGTTGATGTTGGGGTTGGGGATACAAAGGTGGTTGAGATAATCTCTGTTGTGATGTACCTTGCATTTGTTGATTGTGATGAATTGCTGTTTGTGAAGGTTGTTGGGCATTCTTTTGTTTCCCATCTTTGGTGGATCCATTTTGTTTTCCATTTTGTTGAGTTGAAGAAGATTTTTGTTGTTGGGTGTTGTTCTGTCTTGAGGGAGCTTTTGGTCGTTCAGTCTTACTGGTCGTATTTTCTGAAATTTGTTGGATGAATTGATCCACAATAGGAGAGAAACCTGTGACAGTATAATTATTTCCTGTCTGACCGATTTTCTGAATGTGGAGTAAATGAGGAGGTAATACCTTAAACTCCTTGTGTTTTTCCATAAACTTTTCAAGTGGAATTGAAATTGTAATCGTTTTGGATGTTTTGAATTTGGAGAGGAATTGATTGTATTTTTCAGAGGTGAATCTCTTTGAGAGATGTTGAAGAGGAGAAATCAGTTTGATCATGTGCATTTTGGGACGCATTCCAGTGGTCTTCTTCTTTGGGATTTTCGTGATGGTGATGGCTTTTGTGTCACTTTCGTTAATAATTACACAACTAGTTCCAGCATCTGATACACAATATAATGTTCCAGCATCTGCATAAACAACATATAAAAGATCTCCTTTCTTGCAAAAAGAGTGAATTTCCTTCTGGTTTTCAACGATTTTGAGAACAGGATATCTCACAACTTCTGTTTTGGTGTTTGAAGACTGGTCAATTTTCTCAAAGGTTTGATTGTGGTAATTGAACAAAATGGCCGAACCGTCAAGCTCGATGAGTTTCTTTCCCTCTCTATAAAATTGTTCAATTTTTCGACATTGTTGAGCTTTGAATGGTATATTTCTTTGGTATGCATCCTTATAAAACCAAACAGCGTCGAGATATCCTTCAGAAGCTTTCTTTGGGATGAGTTGAATGGAATTGTTGACACCTGTCGAAGTGTTCCTTTGTTCCATTAACTCAAAGTTGATGAGATATTCTTTTCCTGCATCGTCCTTGAAAGAAACAGATGCTTTAGGATTCTTAATGTATTGTTCACACAAGAAGTTATTTTCCTTCGTTGTGAACGCTTCATAACGACCAATAGATGAGTCATAAAAACGGAATGTTCCAGTAAATTCTGAATCATCAATCATGTCCATCTCAACCTTAATAGTTGGATCTTGATTGAGATAAATTTTGTACGAATTTTTGAGAGAGTCAAATGCATTGGAAAATGCTTTGTGCACCCCTTTAGCATTTGAGTCTTTTTTGATAAGGTGAATCTCTCGTATGCAACTCTCTGGATGTTCCACAAAGTATTTTTCCAGAGTTTTTGTCATGACCTTGATTACCTTAGATAGTTGTTCACCTTCATGTCTGAATGGAGGAATGGCAAGAGATTTGATTTTGTTTTGTTCAGCAGTTTGAAGAATATTTTCGACTGCTTTTACAATTACATCTTCTTCCAATTCACCATCATTCGGAAGAAGGAGATGATAAATAAATTTGAAATTGGATAAATTTCCATGAGATGTCTCAATTAAGGTGCCAATTCCAGCTTGTGAATGCGTTTCAAATGTTTCCATCTTCATACTGAATTCGTGTGAGACAAAAGTACCAGCAGCAGTTTTGAATTCCTGTGAAAGAGGAGATTCTTCATATGGATTGGCACAATTCACCAAAACATCCACTGATAATGTCTTGTCGAACATATCAGTGTTTGTCATAATAAATGAAACAGTTTCCCACTTTTACAATGTGGAAAACTTTGTTGTTGTCGACAAAATCAATGGCAGTGACTTGTTTCTCTGCCACTGCTTGAAGTATTAGGGCTTGTTTTGTTTGTCTCCAGTGATTGTACTCAAAAGCAGTCACTGGTAAGAGTTCATAGTGAATAGGATCATCAATTTTGTTCAATGCATGGAATTGTGGCAATGGTTCTTGGGATGACGCAGAGCCTGGAAGTGGAGGTATTTGAGCTGGATCATTCATCAACTCTTGAACCCAATCAAATAACTGTCTAAAAGAATCAATAATAAGAGGTCTATTGTATCCCCAAATCAAGAGGGTAGCTTCATTCTCCAATAATCAAAGTAGTACTCAATGGAAAGTGGCTTAAAAAGTTCTTTGAGTGACTTCAACAATGCCTTGTTATATTGGGTGGTGGTTATCTCGATTTGGACTTTGATATCCCACACCTCTCCCTACTCCTCCAGTCGATGGAAACAACTGTTGCTGATTCATGTGTTCAGAGTGGAACTGAGGAGGTACAAACGTTTGATGTTGTGGTTGGTGTTGTGGTTGAGGTGGAAAAGTTGTATTCTGTCCATGTCCGGTGAGTCCTTGTGGAGGAGGACCTTGTTGATGATAGGAAGGAACATCACCTTGATTGTAATGGTAGTGGTTGTTATTATTATTATGACTCGTGTGACTGGTGTTGTATTGATTATTGAACATCACACCTCGACCACCCATCATTCCTGATGATTGAGAGGAAGGGTTGAGATTCATCATTGGTGGATGATGGTAAAGACCTTGATTCATCGATGGCTGCATGGGTTGAAGGTGAAGGACAGAATTTGCCAACGTGATCGGACGTTGCTGTTGACCGAAGCCAGCGCTGAAAGGTGGCTGTTGTGATGAGTTTGGAGGAATCATGAAGAGATGATTTTTTTTTGAGTGATGGAAAATGACGGGTTGGAATTATTAAAGTTACAATTTTGGTTCGGGAATTCATTTCTGTAACTTGGGAAATGTTTACAAAAGAGAGATGGCTGACACGATGAAGACAGTTGTACGTTGATCATAATCGTTAATGGTCGCGTGCATTTTGTTGTGATAAGTCTTGCAGTTGAACATTTTGATGGCTTATTTTAAATGTCAGTGTAGGTATTGGAGTACACAAACATGGACAAGCATGCTTCAACGATGGGAATTGTATGATATTGTGTGAAACAATTTATTTACAATGATTCAACCGACCAATTAAGGTCTGTAAGTAATCAGGTATGACGGATAAGCCTTGGAATTTTGGTATACAATGTATACATCAGAATCACCAGTGAAACCTTTAACACTATCATATCGAACGGTTGCAAAGACAGATGTGGAAATACCAGGTTTTTCAGGTGGCAAACGTAAGGAATTATCTGAACGAATTTCAATGTAATCACCGAGCAAAACGTCAGCAAGAAACATCTTTTTGGTGTTATTTTCATTCGTAAATCCATAGCCGTTGGAATAGCTCGCTTTTTTAGCAAAGTAAATTCCCTGTCCCCACATTCCTGAAGCTGAAAAACGCATATCGAATCCATCTTGTCCATTGTAAATTAGAACTGGATTGGTACCTCTTGTTCCATGGAAGAGTTGTACAGGATCACAAGACCAGGAGCCTTTCAGTTCCTTTTTGATGCTTTCCAATCGATCCCATTCGTTTTTGAACGCTTGATAGAGGAATTTGTTTTGAATTCTCTCAATGGAGACAATTGTAGAATTTGGCATGGTTTCTTTAAATCTGTTGACAATTTTTAAGTATTCATCAGAATTGTCAAGAACCTTAACAATTTCAAGATTGTTCTGTTGAGGTGTCCAGTTGGAAGGATAAACCACGGATTGTGCTAAAGAAGGAGAGTTTGCAATCTCGTATACAATCTTCTTACAGAATTTGTCAACAGAATATTTGAATCCTTTGACTACAATTGGCATTTTGGTAGTGTCAACTTCAAGCAAATAGGGTGGAAGTGATTTGAATTTCTTGTGACTTTCCATAAAAGAGTCAACTATTCCTTTTGTACAGCTGATTGGAAGAGTACAAGTACGAGTTCGTGATGAGTCTTGAATCATTTGCTTGTAATATGTTTTGAATATGTCCTTGTCTGTATCGAGTGATATAACTTTGAACATGTAAATCTTTTGCTTTGGCACTATTGTCTTCTTTTCCATTTTAGTGATACCAACCGGCTTTACATTGCTTTCTTGAATTTGGAAATGCTTTGCCTCACAAGCACAATACAATACTCCATTCTGATTCTCGTCATAAACATATAGCAAATCACCTTTTTACAAATGTCAGTGTCTATTGTGCATTCAACAATACGAAGAACAGGCATTCTTTGGACCATTCTTTGATAGTTGGTCTTTGAGTTGACTTGTGTAAAAGTGCCATTTTGAAACTTCACAACATATACAATGTCCTCATTGGTGTACTTTGAGTTGGTCATTGGAATATTCACTTGAGTCAAGCCCTCTTTGTAAGCGGCTTCAATAGCTCTACATTGATTTTCTCGGTATAGACTATACTCATTGTTGTCGTCTTTGTAAAACCAGAGGGCATCAATAAACTGGCTGCTTCCATGAGGCACTTGTATAATCTTTCGTGTGAAATTGGTGTCAAGATTTGTCTGTTTCATGTTTGCAAAATCGATCAAATACTTTTTTCTTCTGTTCAGCTTCAAAAACAAAACTTTCTTTTGGATCTTCCAAAAACTTCTCACATAGTTTTCTGTTTTCATTTGGGGAGTAATCCAAGTATGACTTTGAGATGTCATCAAAATATCTAAAAACTCCGGAGTATTCGTAAGAAATGTTTTCTTCAACTTCGTAATCGTCTTGTGAAAAGTTTTGATAAACGGTTGTTGAATTGCCATTGAGTTGAGAAAAGACATTTGAATACGCTTCGGATATTTCTGATTTTTCTTCCTTATTTGCAAGATGAATCTCTCTGATCGAGCTATTAGGTGTATTGATAAGGTGTTCGCAAATGGCTTCAGCAATAATTTTTGTCGCTTGTGGGATTGGATAACCAAATATGCCCATCGCAAGTGGAGGTATGGCAATAGACGCAATATTCTTGTTCTCTGCAATCTTCAAAATGTTGAGAACAGTCATTTTTAAGTCACATTCATCTTGTAGACTTCTTGAACACCCGGGAGGAATTGCGTTATAGATTCCAATCACATGAGAAATGTTATGAGCACGAGTCTCGATCACGTCTCCCGTTTTGAAAGATCCTCCATTTTGCTGTAACTTTCTTTTACACTCTTCATCAAATCCTTTTCCAGCTGCGTCTTTAATTGCTTTTGCTACTCCTGCATCGTGTTGCAGCTGATCATTTGCACTGTTCACTAAAATGTCGACATTGAGTCTCTTATCTAAAATGTCAACATTTGAAATGTAAATGAGACAATTTTTGATCTTCTCAATTTGATATGTGAAATTTTCGACATACACAATTTCAGTATTATACTTTTGTGCTTCAGCTGCTAGCTCCTTAAATGTTTTAGTCCAATATTTGTATTCATGATGAGATATTGGAAGAAAGTCGTACACAATTTTTCTACGAGCATCCAAAAGAATAGTGCTGACGTGTTTCTTGACAAATTCATCTAAATCTTGAACTTTTCCATTCAACCTAACAGAAAGGCCTTGAGACTTGATCATCTTCAAACCCTTTTGTTTGGCTGCGCTTTCAAGTGCATTTTCTGCTACCTTCTTCTCAATCATATTGTCGAAATAGATTTGTCGAGAACGAGTTTGAGAATTTGCAAGAGCAGCATTAATATTTTCGTAAACCACGTCAACGTCGTCTTGATGGATACCTTTGATCATGACAGAATTATTTTTGATAAATGCCACTACTCCTTTGATATCTTTGGTAAAATCTTTCAAGTTCAAGTTCTTTGTTTGTGTTGCTTGTACTGAGATTGTTTTTTTGTAACCTTTCATAATCTTTTCAATTTCTAACTTAATCTCATTGTGGTAATTCCTAACTTTGATATCATCATCAGTGTTCTGTGTGATATCGTTAGTGTTCTGTGAGTTTTTCAACAACGCAACACGACAGGTCGCTTCATTGGTTTGATTGTCTTTCCAGAATACAAATGCTGTTTGAATGGAATCAAGTGATTGCAAATACTTTGAAATTTCGCCCTTCGTTTCCTCAAATAAATCTTTGTCGACTTTGTATGTGATATCTATGTCTGTCAATTGATCAATTAAGTTCTTAATCTCAACCTGCTTCTTCAACAAAGCCCCATCCAATACAATTGATACACTACTACGGTCTACTTTTTTGCATTTGGCTTTCAATGAAAAATGTTGCTGCAAGAATTTCATTTGGGCATTAGAAATTGGCTTTAGTGTCTTCGGTTTGTCTTTTTTCTTTTCCTTATTCTTTTGGTTAACATTGTTAATGAGATTGCCATCTTTGAGCAGCTTTGAGAACTTTAGAAAGTCTTCTTTGCTGGCACAGAGTGCTTTCACTTCAACACCTTCTCCTTTAGGTTCGAATTGAAGCTGATTGTTGCTTCTCAACTTTGACAGCTTGTCACTTCCATAAGGAAGCAAACCAATAGTTGAGAGGAATTCTTTTTGGAGGTTGCTAAGCTTTCCTTTCTGAGAGATAAGGCCTAAAACAGTTAATATTTTGTTACTAGAATCATAATAACATTGGAAATGGTTAGCTATGAGTGTACTTTGAATAACCGGATTCCAAGGCTCCAAGAAATAAGTTTCACGGAAAGTATGAAGGCTCAAAAGGCTTTCCACTCTGTTTTCAATGTCCTGCTTGCTCAATGTGGTATTGAAAACAGCCAAAGTATGATCTGTACCATTGAAGCGCCAAAGATTAGATCCAAATACATTATCTAGCTCATATGTTGGTACTAATTGCAAAAGAGTGCTCTTTACAAGATCCAACTGGATAGTTGTGGCGTCTTGTGGAATGGTGAATGGATGGACAAGAGATGGTTGTACAATTTTTTGTGTCGTGGTGGTGTGAGCATTTGAAGTCGTCCCTTTGTCAACATCTATGCGCAAATTGAAATTCCCAATACGAATTTTGTTGGTTTGTCTTACCAAGGCCTCCGCAACAGCTGCATCCTTGATCAACAAGATAATAAAATAAGTGTTAGGATAGTTTGAACTTTGTTTCGGCTGGACTTTCTCTTCTTTGTCAATATTACCATGCAAACAAGGAACAGCTTGTTTCAACAATGCTAGGACATTTGAAAGATCTTCCGACTTTGGAATGTTGATAATTCTAACTTTTACAAACGGAGCATTAGGTCTTGTTTCAACCTGAGAATAGACATGAATGGGAGGTTGGTTTGATACATTTGAAATGAGAGGTGGTTGTTGATGACTCATTCCAGTATAAGGACCACTCATTACAGTGTAGGGTTGAGTTAACATCTGACCATACCCTTGCTGAACAAAACGAGGTGGTACATTTCCTGCTTGCATATTATGACCAGGGATTGTGGATTGGTGTGGCTGAATGTGATTCAACTGCTGATCATTAGATGATTGCAAGTAACTGACTGGTCTATTCGCATAAGTCACAGCGTTTGAGAGAGAGACTGGCTGCATTGGTGAGGTATTTGAACCTCCTTGAAGTGGCATTCCAATATAACCCATTTTGTATGTTTTTGTACAGAGTTTTTTTTTGTTTGATATAAGCATCTCTTGCATACTTGCATACAACAATTTAAAAGATGTCCAAAGACTGAGAATTCCCAAGTCAAAATCTGTTGAAAGAATTATATTGTTGGAAAACGCTTAAAATAGTGCCGTCAACAGCTTTCGACTTGGGAATTCTCAGCACACATCTTCAAAAACTGCTCACCAAACAATGCAAAGTCTTTCTCATTCAGTCACAACGAGAGATAAGCTGAATTTCATAATGGCTTTCAACATACATTTCACAAAAGCCTGATGAACTTGGCTTGCTGTGTCTCTGAGCTAATATATGACGGTGCTGTTCCTTGATGGAAATTTGATAAATTCGAACGCTGTTGTGCAATTCTGTTAATTATATTATGTAATGAATATGCCAAAATAGTAATCATGACACGGTCATTCCGATTAAAGAAACCAAAAAAATTTATGAAAATTCTTATTCCAATCATCATCCTATAATTTCATTCAAATTCAAACCGAGCTGTCCACAAACAACAACAATATCATAAAGGTTTGTTTTGTGTTTCTTCTTCCATTATAAATTTACTCCGAGAAAAGACATTGGTTTGTCGGATTAAATTATATCTTTACGGCTATGTTCCCATCGATGGGAAGTGTGAATGAAAATTGGACGCGAAATCATTTTTTCTTGTCCCTATTAATAAAGTGGAAAGAGCAATTCATAACATCATCATAGTGTTTCCGCGAGTAAGCCATGATGAACCTTGCACTCTCGGAAAGGAAATTGAACATGGCAGAACGAAACACACCATCCACCAAGCGAATGGTTCAAGGCCTTTCTGACGACGATCAGGTGCTGATTTTTGATTCATCGTCGCGCTGGTGCAGATCTCCTAATCTCATACCGAAAAAATTGTGTGTCCAAATGAAAGTCTTTCATGTGTTTCTTTTCACAGCTGTTGTCATCTTGTGGATGATGACGGCGTGCATGCAGGATGTGAACAAATCGCCAATGTTGGTGATGGGAGCTACCACTTCGCAGCCACCACCACCACTCATTCTCTACACAGATGCTCTCTCTGGACCAACCTCTGGAGGAGAATTTGGTTTGGGTTGCTACTTGTCCATCTTTGGACGAAACTTTGGAACTCCATCTGGAATGGGTACAACAACCAAAGTGTTCATTGGTGGCTATGAGGTTGCCAATTACCGTTATTTGGGTAATTCCACCGTTGCTGACAAGTTGGGCATTCAACAATTGACTGTTCAAGTTGGGTCATTGGGAGGTAAATCCAATGTCAACGTCTCTCTTCCTGTTGTGGTCTCTGTGAATGGAGTTTCAAGCAATAATAATCAAAAGTTCATTCCTACCAATGGAAGTGTCCTATTTGTGGCCCTTAATGGCTCTGACAGCACTGCTGCTTACAATGACATTAACAAACCATGGCGTTACTTGCAAAATATGGCTGCCTATTCGGGTGCTTACTTTGCCATGAGTAAGGGAGATCATGTAGTGATTCGTGGAGGAGTTTGGATCGATTGTAATGGTCTCAATACCAATTGGATTCAAGGAAGTCGTGAACCTTACACTCGTGCAGGTACTCCCTTCGAATGGATTCATTTCACAGCATATCCAGGACCTATCAATGGTAATGCCATTGAAGTGGTTCGTCATTCCACACCAGCTGGAAAGTCAGGATCCATTGCAGGTCCTGAGAGTGCAGTTCCAGAGATGGATCAACACACTGCTGAATATTGGTCCATTTCCAATCTTCATATGGATGTGAAGGCAGGAGCTGATCAAGATGCTGCCCCCATTAATTTTCAATATTCTCAAGGGCCATTTCGAGTGGTGAACAATGAGTTGGGTCCATGGATTGCTGGAAGTTCACCTATCTTGAATGCTGGAGGAATTGCTGGTGCAGGATATAATACAAAAATTTTGGGAAATCATATCATGCATATTGAGGGAGTTAATGCTTATCAAAATCATGGTAAGTTTGATTGTTGTTTCATTCAACAATAGTATTTCTGTATTTTCACATGTGCGAAACATTTCCTTCCATTGTTAAATGTTCACATGCATGTGTGAAAACCACTAAAAATAATGATTTTCTGCCTTCTCTTTGACATGATCATTTTTAAAGGTATTTATGCTGATCCCTATTCCTCAAATTGGGAAATTGCTTACAATTGGATCCATGACACCATTGGAGGATCTTCCATTCAATTCAACGATGCAGGAGGCTACAGCAATACCACCGACCGTTTTGGTACACTCTGGATTGGATTTGTTGGTATGAATATTCATCACAATTGGTTGGAGAAT